GAGAAATCTTGATATGAGATAGTTGCCTAGTGCACACCCCCTACCATGGATGGAGCCTGAAACCCAGCATATACCCTGACCAGGAATCAAACTGGCAACCTTTTGTGCACGGGAAAAAGCCCAACCAACTGAGCCACACTGGCCAGGGCCACTCCTACCTTCTTGAAAGCCTGTCTTCCTACAGCTTTTTTGGTCTCATTCTCCTAATTTTCAAGTTAGTTTTAGTTCATATAAATAATAATAATAATAATAATAATAATAACAATAATACGATGATGATTAACAGCCAACACCAATGGAGTAGGTGTCAGTGTGTGCCAGGTGTCTGCTACGCTCTACCCTATCATTGCATCATTTGACCTTCTAAGTACAATGATGTGGGTATTACTTTCATACCCATTTTATGAATGAAGAAAATGAGGCAGAGTCATTTACTGGCTTGCTCATGGTCACATGGCCAAAAATTAAGGAACAGGAATTGAAATCGAGTCCTGTGTGAGCCCTGTGAAGTCAACCTCTTATACAACTTCTTTTTCTGTAGGAGAAGGCAGTATTAGGGATTGTAGGACAGAGAATGGTGGAAAGGATACAGCCAGGAAAACCTGAGAGGGAGGATTTAGGGTCTGACACTTAGAAGTCAGGGGACTTACCAAAACCGGTTTGGCTCAATGGATAGAGCGTCGGCCTGCAGACTGAAAGGTCCCAGGTTCGATGCCGGTCAAGGGCATGTACCTGGGTTGCGGGCACATCCTCAGTAGGAGATGTGCAGGAGGCAGCTGATCCATGTTTCTCTCTCATGGATGTTTCTAACTCTATCCTTCTCCCTTCCTCTCTGTAAAAAATCAATAAAATATATTAAAAAAAAAAAGAAGTCAGGGGACTGACTGGTGATTGCCATTCTCTGAGTTTGTTTCTTAATCTTTAAATGGGGACAGAGCCCTGGCCAGTTTTGCTCAGTAGATAGAGTGTTGCTTTGCAGATTGAAGGGTCTTGGTTTCGATTCCAGTCACGGTCCATGTACCTTGGTTGCAGGCTCAATCCTTAGCCCTGGTTGGGGGACGTGTGAGAGGTGACCAATTGATGTGTCTCTCTCATTGATGATTCTTTCTGTCTTTCCCCATCCCTTCCACTCTCTAAAAATCAATGGGAAAATATCCTAGGATGAGGTTTAAGAAAGAAAGGAGGAGGGGCAGAGGGGTCATTATGAAGTAGGGCTTAGCACACAGTAAATGTCCAAATATATGCACGAATATATATGCAATAAATATTATGGAGCACCCACTCTATGTCAGACACTGTTCTCACTGCTGGCAGCATAGCAGTGAATAAGCAGACAAAAATTCGTGCTCTGACCCAGCTGGTATTGCTCAATGGTTGAGCATCAACCTATGAACCAGGAAGTCATGGTTCAGAAACAAAAATTATATATTTACCAGAGGCCTGGGGCATGAAAATTCATGCAATGGAGGGGGGGTCCCTCATCCCGGCCTCCCCCATCTCACAGTCCGGGAGCCCTCAGGGGCAGGAGGTGACCCGGCGATCAGGGGAAGGCAACGGCCCATCACACCTCTGCTGCTTCCACTGCCAGCAGCACAAGCCTCGGGCGGCCCTGGGCGGCTAAGGGCTGAGGGGACTGGGGGACTCCGGAGGCATGTGTGTGGCTGCCTGCTGCCTTGGCAGAGCTGAGGGGACTGGGCACCGCCATCTTTGAGGATGGGGCAGTCAATTAGCATATTCCCTCCTTATTGGCTGTGGGCACTGCCATCTTTGAGGATGGGGCAGTCAATTAGCATATTCCCTCTTTATTAGATAGGATTATCCATGCCCAGCAGGGACAAGCAAAAAAATTATTAATGCATATCATGTCTTATGTGGTGAGGAGTGCTGAAGAATAAAGAGCAGGGAAGGAGAGGAGTTGGAAGGTGAATTTAAATAGGGTTGGCCTGGCCAGCATGGCTCAGTGGTTGAACATTGACCTATGAACCAATTCCCGGTCAGGGCACATGCCTGAGTTTGGGGCTCAATCCCCAGTAGAGGGTGTGCAGGAGACAGCCAATCAATGATTCGCTCTCATCATTGATGTTTCTCTCTCTCCCTCCCTCTCTGAAATCAACAAAAAAAATTTTTTAAAAATATACTTATTGCCCTAACTGGTTTGGCTCAGTGGATAGAGCGTTGGCCTGCAGACTCAAGGGTCCCAGGTTCGATTCCAGTTAAGGGCATGTACATTGGCTACTTCCTGCATGCCCCCTACTGGGGATCAAGCCTACAATCCAGGCAAGTACCTTTAACCAGAATCAAATCTGGGACCGTTCAGTTCACAGGCCAATGCTCGAACCACTCAGCAAACCAGCTAGGGCAATAAAAAATAATTTTAAAAATTTCTTAAGCCCTAACCAGCTTGACTCAGTGGATAAAGCGTCAGCCTGAGGACTCAAGAGTCCCAGGTTCGATTCCGGTCAAGGCATGTACCTTGGTTGCAGGCACATCCCCAGTAGGAAGTGTTCAGGAGGCAGCTGATCGATGTTTCTCTCTCATCAATGTTTCTAACTCTCTATCCCTCTCCCTTCCTCTCTGTAAAAAATCAATAAAGTATATTAAAAAATTTTTCTTAAAATAAAAAAAAAATAGAATGGTCAGGATCAGACTCACTGAAATGATGACATTTAAGGCCTGAAAGACATGAGAAAGGATCCATGATGGGAACTAAGAGCATTCACGCAGTGGAAATAATGAGCAAAGTCCTCGCGGTGGGAATGTGCCTGGATGGTTTGTGGCGCATGGGGTAGGTTAGTGTGGCTGGAGGGAATGAGGGAAGGAGCAGATGAGGGGCTGGAGGTCAAAAGAGAGGTCCCCCAAGTCCTCTAGTTTGCTCTGAGAACTTTGGCTTTTATCTGAGCTAGAAGGGTGGGATGTGGAGCGAGGCGATCTCTTTCTATCACCAAGAGGTAAAGTAGGGTGTGGAAGTGGGGTGTAGCCGAGGTTCAGTGGCATCGAGGTTTCTGTGCCGTTCAGTGGGGGAGGGCTAGGGGTGCCCTGAGGTCTCCCCTTGAGGAAGTGCCGGGAAGGAGACTTCAGCACGCTGGACAGCGCCTGCACGTTGCTTGGAGACCAGGAAAGCGGCCTAGATCGGGGTGGAGCATGCGAAGGCGCCCTATTAGAAGCTGTGCTCATGGCCCTTGTGGAAGCTGCAGCTGCGTCCATACAGCTGCTGTGGTCAGAAGGAGTACAGAGGGAGTTTTCCTTGGTCGCTGTTCCGTCCATAACTGATCTGCAACATTTCAGGAAAACAGTTCAAAAAAACAAGCGGTGACTGTGACCACCCTATGGGAAAGTGGCAGGGCGGGGCCTAGGAAAGGTCCTATTAAAATTGCTTGTGATGACACAGAGGGGGCGTCACTGGGCAGGGCCTGTGGAAGGCTTCTATTGGGACTGGGGCTGTTGATTGGGCATGGAAGAGGCGGGTGGTGTGTACCACGCGGGACTAGGGGTGTGTTTGCAGAAGTGGGGCTATGGCTGGTTTTCGCGCCCAAGAGGAGGCCCGCGCATCATCACAGATGCATAATCAGGATTATAGGGGCTCTCAGATCCCCCAATTTCTTCCCCGAGGAGTCCCTCAAATTGGGTACTAGGTGGTTGGACTTAAGAAGCGGGTACTTTGATGTCCCAGGACTCATAAATGCAGGAGTTAGATTTCTGGACATGGAATGCAGAATCCCTGAACTCTGAAATGGGCTTTTCAGATACCGCTAACGTTCAAACAGCGGTCCCAGGTTTATCCATCTGGGGGTGGGGGGCACAACTGATGTTTTTCCCCGCCCCCTCCCCAAACCCAGCTGCCAAGAGGCTCAGTTTAGGTGTCAGCTTCTTGGGAGACAATGGGAAGACCACGGACAGGACCTGGAACCTTTGGGTAATGACCTTGCGGCCACGCCCTAGCCATTCCTGCGTGTGTCCCCCTCCCCCCACAGTGAGGGGAAGAACCGGGAGCCTGGGCCCCTCCCTTCCCTATATCCCCGAGGCGAGGCAATGCCCCTCCCTTGCCAGGCCATTCTGCTAGTCTGGGGCATTGTTTTAACCTATCTTGGGTCTGTGAGCTCTTCCTTTACCGAGTCCAGTGGACTCTGCCAACTAAGTCCCCCTGAAACTCACAGCTTGGATGTTCCAGAACTCAAGCCTCATTCCTGGTCTGTTGCCCTCATTCTCACTTCTCCCACACACCTATTCTCTGTCCAAGTCAAAAGGACTACTCTGAAGCTTGACTTAACCTGGGGGTCTTCCCAGTTCAGAATCCTTCCATAGCTCTCAATTATTGTCAGGATAAAGGTGAGAATTCCTCTGGCTGGCTGGCAAGGGATTGCACTGGGTGCCCCTCGCTAACCTAGCAACATTTCTATCTTTTTGCAATCAAAAAGCTTCACCCACCTTGTCAGAGGCCGGTCCATCCTTGCTGCTTGACACAGTTGCTGCAGGAAAGAAACATCTGCACAGCAAATGTTTCAAGGGACCTGGCGTATACTGTTCTTGATGTTGCTCCCCTTAGCGCTATGTGGTTTAACCAAGGTCACCTCTCCGAGAAAGGTTGTTTCCCCAGGTAGGGATTTTTCCCTGAAGTTAGAGAGGGGATAAAACCCCTTAACTAAGTGCCAGGCGGGTATTTAATCACTTTAACTACAATCATGATTAAGCTACATAATCTTTACTCCCTGGAATGGAGATAAGAAACGCCCTAACCTTTGCAATAGAAATTGACAGGATTAAAATCAACTGGTATAAATCCCTCCCCCACACACCCATGGTCTCAGTTCAAGCATCCTGTCTCACTTGAAACACAAAAAGCCTTCCCTGACCCTTCCTGCCCATATGGAACAGGGTCTTCTTGGTGCCTAGAAGCACCATGAGGGCAGGGACCAACTCTGCCACCGAAGTTCCAGTACCCAGTGCAGGAGTGATCCATAAACCAACATCCAATAAACACATGTTGAGTGAATCAAACAATGAACACAGTAAGTTTCCATTTATTCCGGAATGGGTTAAAATAAGCATCTGGGCCAAAAAGGCTTGCAGCAAAGAGCACACAGCCAGCATGGGGCTCACATCAGGAGACTGAATCTCAGCAGACAGCCCAGCTGTACAGGGCCAGGCCTCAGGGCCAGAGCAGTCCCTCCTGACCACACAAGAATGGTCAACGGGCCAAGGGAGCCAAATGCTCTGCCAGGGTAGTTGGGCAGCTAGGTGGTAACTTTCAGGTCAGACTGGAACCTAGCCCAGAGGGACATGAGGCCCAGTGACTGCCAATCTAGAGAGGAGGAATCCTGGATCTGTATCCTATTACTACTCAGAGGTCCCCTTTGGTCCCAAGTCACCAATCCCCACCAACCCCCATGCCATCAATCCAAAATTTTGGAAAGCCCCTCCCCCCCCACCTCCCTTAAAACACGTTGGCCCACCATACCCGTGTCCATCTGTCCCACCAGTGGTTTGGTCTCCTTTCCTGAGCCCTCTGGAGTGTTTTGTCCAGTCCCAGAGCACTGACACCCCCGCCCCCCCAGTCTATTCACCAAGCACCCTGTCTGATCAACTCGCTGAATAAGCATGTGGGTTGCTGGTCCTTCCTGCTTATGTTCCTGGTGATCTTTGCTGGTGACTGAAAGATGCATGACACTGTCCTCCAGCAATATATGGGTCAAAGCATCTCACCCATAGGCCAAGTCTGTTGCCCACTATGGCCCTGACTGATGAGTTGGAGCAGCAGCTCAGTGAGGGCCTTCTCTAGGCTGGCTTCCTGGGCTTGGAGGGCAACAGGCCTGGGAAGGCCTTGGTCAGCTTTGAGTGGGTGATGTCCCAGCAAGGCCTTCATGCTTAAGTTGGGTTCACATCTTCCTGAGCCCAGCCTCCTGGAGTAGCAGGTCCTGAGGGCTGGGATATTGCAGTTGGCCTCAGGCATCACTGGGCTATCAGCACCAATGAGGTCCCCAAGTCGCATTAAGGTGCCAAGGGATCTGGACTCATGAGCTGTCCCCTCAGGACAGATACCCACTGTGTTGCAATGCTGCTGCTGGCTCAGTGTTGTCCAGACCTGACCATGGTGATCCTGGCTGTAGCTGAAGCTCCCAGGGTTGTGCCAGCAGCCCAGTGGGTGAGACCTTCACCCAACCCTATTGTGGGCTGCAAAGTGTCTCCCAAAAGATATGTCCAATCCTAACCACTGACGCCTGTGAATGTGACTGACTGTAGGTACAGGGTCTCTGTAGATACAAGGATCTTGAAATAGTATCATCCTGGACTAGAGTGGGCACTAATTCCAATGATTTGTGTCTAAGAAAGAGGAAGATTTGAGACACAGACTCATATTCATACATTGGAATATGGTAGTGGTCTCTGTTTGGGAGACCAATGTGAGGAGACCTGTGTTGACAAGAAAGGTCCGGAGTTTGAAGGCATTTGGCAGTTGGGGCCAAGGGGCTCCTCCCTTTGGATTTCTGAGTGATGTAGACTCTGTCCAAAGCCTGTATCCTGTCATCACAAACACAAGGTCCCAAAGATGTCACATGGGTCTTTATCCCAGCCCCTGCACACGTCTGGGAGAGGAGCTGGGGTGGGTATCCACCCTCAAGCCTGTCTCCTCTCTCCACTCGTACACATACTTTAGGCATTTCAGGCTGACCAAAATATTCACAGTTGGCCACCTCTTGATGGACTTCACAGGGCCCCTCTCCCCGACCTGGACCTCTTGGTATCTAGGACCTCCTCTGCTGCAGCAGAGGGCAAACATTTCCCAATGTTTTCTTTTTTAATGCAGAATACCTTTTATCACCTCTCCAAGAAAGCAAGTCTTCATCCTTTGAAGGCACACTGGAGTTTCTGCCCCGGCTGAGTAATCCTGCATCAAGAATGGGTTGCACTTCTCCCAGTAGCCATGGTTAACAAGCACGGGAGGACAAAGAGCTTAGGCCGTGAACAGTGCCAGAGTCTGAGAGGGTGAAGAGGCAGCAAGTCGACAGGAGTCCCTGCAGAGGGCAGTCAGGCCCTGTCTGCCCACAGGGCTCTTCCCAGACAAGCCACCCCGAGTTGAGAAGGGCTGCTCAGGGGAGGTTTCCTCCACCTCCACACTGATGTCTAAGTGTAGAATGTTCTGCAGCATTGGCTTCTAACCACTATGTGACAATGTCTCCCAAGCACTACAAAACTGCCTGCGATTGAGAACAGTACTCCAGAGAAACCCACTGAAAAGCCCACCTGTGTGCGCTGTGAAATTCTCAGTAGGGGTGCCACAGAACGCCACCCCAAATAGATGGTTCCATCTGGGGGTGCCTCAGTCAAATTTCAACCAGGCTTTTTCAAATTAGGTTCTATGTACCAAACTTAATCCATGGTGACTTCAAATTGCACTTACACTACATCCAGAATTCATGGAGCATAAAACAAAGCATGCTCAATTGTGGGAGCATGGGCCGCTAGGCTGCTATGCAGACACTCGTGGCTGTGGAGTTCGCTGGGACATAGGGGCTACAAGATTCTAGCTAACTGGTTGCTGGCCCTGACCAACTCAGTCAAGATGTCATAAGCCTGGAGGTAGCCACTATACCCTCTTTGGTGAACAGGGACCATCCTGCCACATGCACTCCACTTTCCAGTGCTGGAAACAGAGCGGAGGAACCTAAACCTGTCCACTGCACTCATGGAGGGTCAGACACCCAGGCCTACAACAGCGCAGTTTTTTTTTCTTTTTTTATTTGTCTACATTCAGTTGAATTCAAATGTACTGCCTGAATGATCCAGACATACAAAACCCCCACTCTATCCCACTGTTTTTTAAAATAAAATCTTCACTTATAAAACTGAAACACTAAAGCATTAAAATACAGAAAGCTCGTTTAACTCACTTCACAAAAGCATTAACAGATGAGGTATCCCTTCTGTAACTATTTCAAGACAAACTGAGTTAACACTAACACCAATTGTAAATAGACAGAGGGATACTGAACTGTAAGAACTCAGAAAACTCTACTCTGACAAAGTTGTAATGGCAACTAACAAACCACTGAAGATGTGGAGTCCCAAACACGGCTAAATATGGGTCACAGAACGGGTCACAAAGTGACCAGCTGCACCTCACAACACAGCAACGTGGACAGGGTAGGGCAAGAGGACCCAGAGGGGCCGCAGACATGTTAACTGTGATGCATAAAACTGAATCTTACAACGAGGAGGGGTAAGTGCAGAAGGTACAAATCTTCACCCTCAGGGCTTTATCTGTACTGGTAGTTCATGCTGTGGTCTGCGTTCCTGCCGTAGCCTCCCTGTGATGACTGGTAAGAGCTGGGAGGGCCGCAGTAATTCTGGCTGGACCCCGGGGAGTTGTAGTTCGATTGTGATGAGTAGCCTCCTGAGTGAAAGAGGGGGTGGGGATCAGCCCAGTCACAGAGGTGTCAGCAGTGGAAGCTCTAACTGGGGCTAAGCACCAGGCTCTTGTGTGGCTCTCCGTATTGCCAGCATTTCTTCATGGAGGTGGCAAAATTTAGGGTTTAATTCCTGGACCCCTGGTTCTAAAAGCCAAGAAACTAAAGGCATGCCTACGTTGGTGCTTGCATAGAGCCCCATATGCCCCGTCTCCTGCTTTCTGTTCCTGCCCCACACAGAAGCCAAAAGGCAGCTGTCACTGTGGCCCCGCCCAGGCTATCTGCCCAAGCCAGGCCACACCCACCCTCACAGCCTCTGCCTCTGTGAGGACCCCCCTCCCCATGCTATGCCACCTGCTGCTCCAGGCCCACCTTGTTTGCCTTGGTACGAGGAGCCGCCCCCAGAACCTCCTCCGTAGCCCCCATGTGACCCTGGGTTGTACGACGACCCGCCTGAGCCGTAGCTGTTCCCGCCGCTTCGGCCTCCGCTACCACTGTAGTCTGGGAAAGAGAAGACAGTGTGGTTAAAGGGCCTTGTGCTGCAGCCCTGGATGTGGCAGACCTTTGGCCAAGACCCTGGACTCTTGCAAATTCCCGTCTTGACTGCTTAGATTTGGCACAGGTCAGTCTCACCATGAACTGCTTGGGGCTGGCTGGAATCCCACAAGGTCACCATGCCCTGGATTGTCCTGATCACCACATTCTGAAGCCAAGTTCCATCCCACTTTCCCACCTGCTCCTCCAACCTGTTTCCCAGCAGTTCAGTAATTGCAGAGCTAGCCCAAGTCCTGGCCCCTGCTACTGGGTGTCCCATCACAAACTACGGTACTCCTACCCTTTCCCAATGGGGCCACTGACACAGTGCAGCCCACCGGTTCTGTACATGAGGTGGAGGGAGAGATGGAGCACAGAGTTACTCACGCTCTTATAGGGGCTGGATGCTCCACAGGTCACCTCGAAGTGGCTGGCCCAGACTCAGGCTCCACCCTGTGCCCCAGTCTCAACCCACAGCCTCAGGGGCTTTAGCCTGGGGGCCGCTGCCTCCAAGTCTGTCCCAATGCCCACCCTGAGGCCAATGTCTCCAACTTCCTTCCAGCCCCCAGCCAGAGGTGGGACAGTGTTGAGCTTTTGGGGGACTGGATGCCAACTCACTGAATTTGCTCTCGTAGCTGTAGTCGGAGCCGCCCCCGCCCCCGGGGGAGCTGTAGGAGTTGGAGTAGTAGTTGCCTTGGCCGTGACTATAGCCTTTCTGCTTGCCCTGCGGGGGGCCATAGTTGCTGTACTGGCTCTGGTTGTAGGACTGCTGCTGGCCTGGGTGGGGCTGGTAGCCTGAGCCGTAGGAGGGTTTCTGCTGGCCCCCGTGTGGCTGTTTCTTCCCGGCATGTTTCGGGGGCACTGGGGAGCTGTAGTTGTCACCTTGGTAGTAGGAGCCGTAGCCGGAGGAGCCACCACCGCCCCCGCCGCCGCCACTGCCAGCATTCCCAGAATGCCCTCCATTGCTGTAGAACTGACCTAAACAGGAAGGCATCCAGTCAGGTGGAGGCTCAGGTTATCGGAGTGGGAACAGAGGGGTAGGGAGGGAAGGTCGAAGCTGTGGGTCCTGAAGGCTGACCCAGGAGCCTGCTGCTCAGGTGGGGGCAGAGTGAGAGGCAGGAGAGCAAGGAGCAGCAGCTCCAGTCCCTAAAGCAGCCTGGTCTGGGCTGGCCCAGCCTTCAGCTCCACTCACCCATTAGCTGATGACAATGGATCTTTGCCAAGCAGCGGCACGGCAGCACGCTGAGAGCAGCTTTTGCAGCGGATGTCAACGTTACAATGAGATGGGCTCCGAGTGCAGGATGACATTCACAACTAGCTGACTGCTACCCAGATGTCCCCAACGATGACAGGAAAAGCAAAGCCCAGAGAAGCAACCAGCCCTCCCCTGCTGTGCTGGGAAGAGGCTTGGCAGTCACAGGCTTGGGTGACCCTAGGAAATGCTCTTTAACGAGGTCCCTGACATTGGTGTCATTCTTGGAAGAAAAACTGCTCTGACCTAGTTCCAGAAGAACCAGGAATGGAAACTTAAGCCAAATGTCCTGGGACTCCTCCGATGGTACTTATGCAAACACATGACTTAGGAGCAATTCCACAGCCTCCAGGTGAAAGAAGACTAAGGCTGGGACCAGAAGATCCAAGTGGTCCCCCAGAGGGCACCTCATTGTTCCCAGCACAGCTGCTGGGCTCAGGCAGGACTGAGCAGCAGGACTGAAAAGCGTGCAGCAAGCCGCCACATTCTCAGGCTCAAGGGCAGAGAATGTCACAGAGAGCTCCCCGACTTCTGGTCATTAGGCAAGGATCCCCCAGAACACTGTTTGTCAAGATATGGCTCCCAAAAGACACTCAAGTGGACCTGTGGGAGATGGATCAGCTAAGGCGCGGGGAACAGGGAGAAGATGGGTCCTGTGGGTTGCTGTCCATCTGGCTGGGCAGTGTCCAGTGCTCCCGCAGGGGCAGTGGAGCTCCTGGGTTCCTAGAGCAGGTAGGCCTGGGTGTGCTTTTGCTGGTTAGTTCTGCCTCTGTCCACAGATGGTTGAGGCTGGTGCTTGGTCAGCCTGGCTATGCCCAGTGTAGGTAGGAGAGGGAGGGGACGCTGCCACGCAACCTGTCCCGTTCCATGTAAGGGTCTCTCATCTTTTGGGTGAATTTGGGAGTCCTCACCAGCCTTCCACCCACTGAAGATGTGCACCCCACAGTGGTGTGCCTTGGGTTGTTTGAACAGCAATTTAGATAGAACTGATCTCTGCTATGGGTTTATTTTCTTCAGGTGGGCAGTCTCCACCCTATACCAACACCCCCATCACAAAGCCAAGGACAAGGATGTGTCCCACAATGCAAGAGAGCAAACACAAGGAGGCCAGGACAGGAGGTCCTCTTCAAGTCCCCCCTTAGAACTCTGTCACATCAGCTGACCCTCGGGCTACACTGAGTGCCTGCCTCCTCACCCCCTCCACAAGCACAGGAATGAATGAAGACGCCAAGTAGTTAGGGCTTGTTACTTTAACATGTATTGATTTAAAAAAAAAAAAAAAGGAGAGGGGAAGTTTTCAACGTCATTCAGGATAACTATTTCCTGGTATAAAAAGACATTATTCTCAAACAATTAACTTTCTAAAAAAAAAATACATCATGCAAAGTTTTAAAAAGTTTCACTGAATGTTTCAAACCTCTGGGAACAAATTATGCAGTAACCGTTTTGACCAGTTTTTGCCTGAATAAACGCAAAATCTTGCAAGTCAACACAGGCAGGCTTTGCTGCAAAAAAGAACTGCTGACCAGAGATAAAACCAGATTTGTTTCCAGGGACTCCCACCAGGAAATGGGGGCCTGAGTAAAGAGCCCGACCGCCTCTGTGTGCCTCTCCACACAGGGAGAAGCCACAACTTCAAGCCTGTACGTTAAGGTAAGAAGGGTGGAAGCTTCCAGGGCTTGTCGCAGCTGTGCGCCCAGCAGTGCAGGCCCTACTGAGGTAAAATTTTCACCGGAGAATTGAGCTACACATTAGGCTCTTTCCGTTTGATTATTTTTAAAACTCCATTTAAGAAAATTCTAGAATTCCATTCATTTGCAACTGTAATCAGGACTTGCAAAATTCTGCATTATTGATCCCTTAAGCCTGTCTATTTCTTGCACTAAATGATGGAAGCACAGTTTTGATACCTTTGAGAGTTCACCTCTAGCTAAACCAGCCACAGAATGTCGCATCCCCAATCACCCACCAGAGCATTTACAAGAGGCAGGAAAGGTTAACTTTGCACAATATACAATTCCCCAATGTTCCCATTGTTTTACATGCTTATAAAAAAAAAAAGAAGAAAGAAAGAAAGAAAAGAAAAAAAAGTCGGTTGCTCTGGATTCAGATGTGGTGAAATAGTTTTCAGCACTATCAAAGGCATCAACCAGATTTGGGAATTTGTTAAAAGGTTAAAAATTCATACAAAACCTGCTGTAAATTAAGACAAAGGTAGATTAAAATGCATCATTATCTGTCTCTTAAATAAAGTAATGCTTTCCATAAAAAGCAAAGGTGGGCTTTTGCCTTGATGCTGACCAACGCTGGCTCTAGAATTCTGTGCAATTCTGCACAAAAAATGCATTCTCTGAAAATTGTTTTCCACTTATTGTTAACTTCAATATGACCAAGTTCAAAGGCAAATCACGATAAAAACTGCCATTGTCTTAAATTCTGCAGGCTAAGAGTTTCAGACAAGCTGCGGTGACAAGCCACGGTTGAGAAACCCAGTGAAGCACAGGGGCACAGCACGGACACTTTAGGTTTTGGAGTTCGAGAAAATTGGAGTAAAAAGTTGATTTTGTGTGCAATACTTTTAGATGCTCTAGGAAGACCCAAAATCATGATAGCCGTAGCAGTCTGTGAAAAAGTCACCTACAAAAGGGGGAGACAGAGCAGAGAAAAAAAATTAGAATTCTTTTGAAAAATGGCACAGAGCGCCACATTTGAAATTCATGTTTTAGATTTCTCTGCTCCTGTAACCCCCCAATGAAGGCTCCTTCTCAAGACAAGAGCTGTGCATTGTCAGGAAAAGTATATTCACAGATTGGTGCTTCGTTCACATGGCTTAAAGCAGAGAAATTTAAAATTTTTTACTTTTAAGGTACTTTCAAGTCATACAGTGTGTGTGTTAACATTTACAGAGTAAATCCCACTTTTGCAGGATGGGGAGGGTGGGGGCCTTGAGGACCACCTGATCTAATCACCAAGGATGGGCGTGGGCCACCCTGACCTAACTCAGGCATGGGAGCTACACTGCAGCTTCTTCCCAAACTCAGACCAAGAGAAATACACACTTACTGTAGCCAGCTGTTGCTGAGTTGCCTCCATACCCATAGCTGCCATACCCAGCGCCTAGAAAGGAACCAACAGGGTTATCAGGGCTGGAGGCGGGTCTCCTTCTGCATCTGCCTCACCCAGCATCTCAGCTCAACCCTAGGGGCCCCACACACCCGAGAGAGCAAGACAGGCCCACGGGTATGGGACAAGGTTCCTCACCAGCATTCATGTAGTTTCCATGGTTGGCGCCACCAAATCCTCTTCCTCTACCCCGACCACGGATGCTCCCTCCTCTTCCCCGCCCTCGAAGGTTTGGGGGTGGGGGCACTTCGTTGTGCATGGGGCCTCCCATGCCAAAACCAGGGTTATGTGGCTGGACAGGAAAGAACAGACAAGTTACATTTGCCTCATTTTCAGATCACAGAAGAATTCATGCCAAGCTGAAGAGATGGCAGGGGCAGCCAGTTGTTACCTTAGCAGCAAATTTCAGTCCACCTCTGACAGGCACAGGTGCTCTCTTCTTCTTATTGGCTTCCAGGGAGAGAGGGGCATCAGGGAATAGCTTTTCTAGCGCAGCAAGGGCAGCATGTGCTTTTGCCACCTTTTTATTTGAGCCAGCACCTTGAAACTTCTGTCCATCTACCTCAACCTGAAAGAACAGACATGTGTCAGGGGTGATCCAAAACCTCCCACTGGGGCAAGGGGACTCTCCACAGATCCCAGGCCTCCACAGGAACTGCTCCAGGATCACTCACCTCCATCACAAAGCGCTTGTCATGGCTGCCGCCAGTCTCTGAGATGAGCTCATACTTGAGGCCACGCCTCTTCTCATTAAGTTCCATGACGGGGTTCTTGCCATGTTTGGTCAGAATCGGCCCCTGCTGTTTTATGTTCTCAGGGAAAAAGGAAAAAAACAACAACACACAAACCCAACACACTCAGCCAAGGGCTGTCCAACACGTGCTGAATAGCCACTACTGCATCACAGCCCTCCACTCCATGTACCCTGCTGGCCCACACCCCCCTCACCTCTGAAAATCACCTGTGAGCTTCCCAGCAATAAGATGACCTCCACCTGCACCCTCTTCTGGGAAATGGCCTATCATTGACTGAGGGTCACCCCAGTACATCCCTGAGTGCTAAGTCAACATCAGCAAAGCCTTCTGGGTAGTAGCTCAAAGGCTCACATCCAGTTCCCCCTATAGGTTCCCAGACTGGAAGGTGACTCCTTTTCGAGAAAATGAGGAGGACCAGCAACCATCCAGGTTCACAGGACACAAGGCTGCCTGCACCACTCTGTTGTGCTATCCAGCGCCCACCAGGGGCTCACCTCGGTAGTGGGATCCGCAGTAAAGGCAGCAGTGGGGGTGGAAGCGGCTTCTACTACAGGTGGAGGGGCCATGACAGCTGGCTTGGCCTCAGTTTCCTCAGCTGAGTCCTCCCCCTTACTGGAGTCTCTGCCTTCAGCACCAGTAGGCAAGCCCATGTCCTGTAACACCTGGGAGGGAGATCCGCAAGGCCCCTGTGAGGGATGGGGCTCAGCACTGGGACACTCTAAATCAGAAGCTCCGAGGGTGGAACCCAGGAATTTGCAGGGTGTTGCTTCCTTTAGCCCCCCACATGCCCAACCATGTGCGGACACCTTCTGCCTGTCAGCCATGCTGACAAAGGCATTCTTGCCACATGTGATTTGACAAACATTAAAAAACCTAACCATTTCATTGTTTGTATACCCTCCCTAAGCCTCATAGTATTTGCAGCTAGGAGACGACAGGTATGAAAAAATCCTAGATGAACAAAGTGCTTTTGCTGTCTAAAGGAAAAGCATACGTTGGATAATGCCACCAGCTATCGTACCTTAACAGCCACATGCAGCTTGGCAGTCTTTTTGGATGGTCCGGAGGCCTCGAATGAGCTGCCATCGACTTCCACAGACATGGTGAAGATGGGGGCATGGACCGGCCCCGCCTGGGAAACCAGTTTATACTGCAGCCCGGGCTTCAGCTGGTTCAGCCTCATCAGGGCATTCATAGCCTGGGGAGGCTCTGCCTTCTCCTCTAGAGAAAGACCACCAACATCACTCTGGAACATCAGTCAGTTCTGAACCGGGGAGGGGATCACTTCTGATATGGGCTTTTGTAACGGGATATGATAGATTGGGCAGCTACAAGGCCTTGTCTATGCTGTTCCCAGGTACACGCCACTACTGGGGTCACCAGTAGGGGCACCCCCCCCACTTGTATTCTGTACCCATATGATATACTTAACCATTTTAAAGATGTCTTAAACATGTCTGAAAACATTCAGATGTCTCCCTACGTTGTGGTTAACCTTAAATGGAGACAGATGGAGGATAAAAAAGGCCTAGGGACAAATGCCTGTACCTTTCTTCTGAATCTTCTTCTTCTTTTTGCTGGGAGACTTTTCCTCTCCATCCTCCTCCATTGGGCGTTTCATTGGCGTAATGGCGTAGGTGGTACTGGGGGGGATTTGAACTGAGAGAGATCAGGACAGAAGTAGTTAAGAGACTAGTCTGGTGCTCTGTGAGGGGCTCACAAGGCTGCTGCCCAACCTGGAACCCTTGGCAGACTTACCCGTGTAGTCCACTGGGTTTTCATTCTTTGGTTTCTTGGGCATCTTAGAAGGCAGAGGGTCCATACCCAGGACTTTATGCAGCTGTCCAAATGCAGCAAGTCGCAGAGCATGCTGGAAAAGGGGAAGAGGAACAGGAACCTGACTCAGCCGCCCTGTGTGCCTGGCCAAGGTGTGTACGCTTGCTAATGCCTTCTGGAAGGGGCAGGAGCTGAGGGGTTGCTAATGTCTCCCCTAAAATAGCAAGGGGTCCCCCAACAGCCAGGGGAGGGCCTGCCTTCCAGGACCCAGCCTTGCTGTGGGGGAAGGCCAGCCTGTGACCACCCGCCTCAAGAGGAATACAGGAGACCCCAATCTGGGGACTGGTTGCCACACGGAGCCACGTGGTGGGCCTGCAAGGGAAGGACCCCTGGAAAAATCTAAATAGCAAACACATATCCCCACTGAACTCGGTGTCTGAAAACAACACTCGAGCAGGCTGAGGAGCAGGCTACAACCACGCGTGGCACCAGGGGAAAGAAGCAGCCCAGATTGGGGCGCCCTGTATCAGGCACAATCCCTTCGCCTTCAGTCCCAACTTGAGCCTACTGTCCAGTGGCGACCCTGAGAATACCCAGTAATGGAACTAGAAGTCAGTGATTACAGACTGGGTAAGGGCTCACGGTGGCAATGGCGATGACTATACCTGCGCACTCTGTGTGATATCTTCCCGTTGCTGTCTGTCTAGATGCCCAATAGCATCAGTGGCTTCTTTTTCACAAGGGTCATAAATGCCAGAACCATCTGAAGGCAGGAAACAAGGAAGATATGCAGAGGATTATCCTTTAGTGTCTCGGAAGAGTTGTACTGGCTGAGGGAACCAGATGCGTTACCCCCCGCGCCCCATCCACACCCAGCTCTGGAAAACACGCTGAGCTCGGTGACCCACTCAGCATCCAGCCCATGAGAGAAATAATCCACATGTGTCTCAGAGCAAGGAGCTCACATGGGAGTGGGTCACCAGTGCCCCGGATCCGCCCTGAGTCACAGCTGCGGAGCCGGCACAGGGCTGGATATGATGGTGCAAGAGGGTAGTCACATGCTTTAGCCCTATGGGGACATGGAGCTGCTGCTGCCCTAACCCGGTCAGGGGACCCGCCAGGAAGTGGCCTCAGGGCCTTGATCCCTGTCCTTTTCCTGTAACTTGCAAAGCACAAGGCCCCAACCTGGCATCACGATGCCTGACGCCAGGCACTCCAGCACTCTCCGCAGGGCCTCGCCAGCACCCATGGGTCTGTTGGCTGTGCCGATGGACTTTTCACAGAGAAGCTCAAGGGGCTGAAAGGCAAGAGGGATAGTTAGCCCATGTCCAGGGGTGGGGGGGTGGGGGGGGTTGGCCAATGCTTGAGGAGCTGTCACTGTGTATATGTGAGGAGGGGTTGGCATGGAAAGTCACAGGCATTCAAGTTCACAAGTCAGGGCTAAGCCAAAGATAGGACTTGTAGATCAGGGCTCAGCCAACTTTTCCTTAAAGGGCCAGACATTCAATCTTTTCAGCCACATTGGCCATGAAGCCAAGCTAAAGCTATTTTGTAGGTACTTATATTTAAAATTATAAAAACATCCTTAAGTATGTGCTGTAAAACAGGCAGCTGGCCAGAACTGGCCTGTAGGCCCATTTGCTGACTGCTTGCCAAGAGTAGCCACAAAGGCTTCAGCTTCATCATGGAGCCAAGCATGTCACAGTATGTGCTAGCACCCTCCCTAGGCTAAGCTGTATATCTCCTCAACAGTGATGGGGGTCCTGGTCTCACTTTCACCTTACACCCAGAATGTGGCATACAGCAGTTGCTAAACAAGCAGCTAGGATGGGGACACATCAGCCATACCCAAAGGGCCACTCTAGCCAGATACCAGAAGATATTCCTGGCTATGGAAGAAGGTCCCTGGTACACAATCCCCAGATGGCCATAGCTAGAAGGTGCCTTACCCATCCTCTTAGAGGACCCCAGGTGGGCACTCGGGTGCACAGGTCCCTCAGGACCCGGATGACAATAACACAAGACTTCAGCCCATTGGCTCTGGCCTAGAGGAACAAAGCACAGGCTCTTTACACAAGGCACCTACCAGAACACAAGGCAAACATGAACAACACAAGTGTCAGGGTGCTACTTTGTCCAGGGTAAAGGATGAACATTCACAACCATCAAGTGTGTGGTTGGCAGTGATGCCACTGTGTGGACGATAATAATGTTACTCTTGGCACAAAGCAGCAGCAACCCGCCTACTCAGTCACAAGCCTCCTTGGGGGATTGTCAATTGGTCTATGCGTGCTGCATTAGCAACTGCATGCCTGCAGGTGCTAAACTCTGCACGGCACTGGTCAACATTACTGAAACTTTACAGTGCAAGTTAGCCACGTTAAAACTTAGGAATTCTCTACCAAAAGACAAATAGAAGAACAAAATGCAAACCTGGAACCACTTGGCGTGTCGGAGGGACGCCAAGGCAGCAAGGCATTTCTGCCTGTCCAGGACGTCCGGGGGGTCGTTGACTGATAGCGTTTCTATTCATGGATGGAATAAGAAGACAAGGCACAGTTTGACCAAGGGGTTTCTGTCAGGTGGAAAGGGGATGTGGCAGCTTCCTAAAGAGCAGTGGAGGTTCCCAGAATCTCAAGTCATCTCTACCCTGGCGCAGGGAAGGAGAAGCCTGAGTGTGTCAACTCTGCCCAGAGAGGAAATTGCAAAAATTGGAGGCCCCTCCAAAAAAAACAAAAACAAAAACGAAAATACAAGTGGGAAGTTACTCTACAAGGAATAATCCCATAGGGGAGGGAATAGATAGGTGGATCCTATCTTCTAATAGACTGTTACCATGCTTCCTCCCCGGTATCTCCCAATAAATTAGCTGTATTAAAATTTTCAATAGAGAAAAAAACCACATACACAAAAAAGCCCTACAAAAAAACAAAAACAAAAACAAAACAGTGGTGGGTGGGAGTCGAAATGAACTCCCTCTCTGCTTCCCACAACAGCCATCCCAAGGCATCTGCCGCAAAGGGGACCACCTCCACCCACCAGGCAGGACTGCCCTAGCCCCAGCCCTTGACAGAGAGAGTCCTGTTGGTCAAAGGTCCAGCTTCCCTAAACTGATAAACTAAAAGGGCTTTGGTAGTTGGATTCAGGTATCAGAACCAAAGGTAATCAAAGAACAGCAACAAGGGTGCTAAGTGTGAGCCCATGCTGCAGCAAAACTGGTGTGTTTGTAGTTCTGCCGTGTGTGTATCAGGGATTTGGATAAGGCCTGTTCCCTTAATTTGTGGTGTGATGTTTGTGATTAAAAAAAATTCACACAAGAGGGAAGCCCTGGGAGGACTGAGTTGTGAAAGCATTATTAGTGTCTGAGCTTTTGTTTTTTGAAAAAAATCACACAACTGTTTAACTTTGTATCAGCTCTTTGCATTTCAATTACTGAGCTGATCAAAGCAGCCAATGGAAGGAAGACAAACGAAGAAGCCCTCAGTTCTGCTGCACCACAAGCTGCTAGTACAACTCCATCATGATGTTTACGCAGAAGCCATATGGCTGTCTCCCGTAATTTAAAAAAACTGTAACATCACCCTGGACATACTTTTTCAAGGCCACACAAGAGAATGGCTCAATAGAAAAGCCAACTGTAACATGATAGCATTCAAGGATTAAGACAAACCAAAATGGTGCAATCCTCTGAAAAGTGCTACTCACTTTTAGTGCAACTGTTCGATCAAACTCCCCAGTACCAAAACAGGAGATGTGATCTCAGAGTAAAAGTGGGCAAAGCTACACCAGTATCCTTTTATCAACCGAGTCTAAAACTGAATAGCACATTTGAGTAGTGAGGGAACACCAAGTTTCCAAAGTCCTGCTGGCCTTCTGAGCCTCCCTACCTCCAGCTAATACTTTCTCCATTTCTTCTCTGACAACGGGGGATGTCAGGTGGATAGTCAGGGACAATGGAGGCTCTTTTGTATTTTTTATCACTATCGCAGCATCATCGACAGATTGGAGTATTTCGTACTTATCTTCTGTAACAGCCTAAAAAAAGAAAATGCAATTTTCAAAATACTTTCTCAAGGGAATCCACACTTCTAGTTAGCCCCACTGGTTGTTGCAGAAAACAGGCCAATATCTTGGGGTGTGATGGACAACAGGCCCTTCATCTAGGGGGTCAGGACCTCCCTCTAATTGGCAAGGTCTATGGCTATTTTCCAGTCCTTCATAGACAAAGATGTCATTTTTCACAGGAAGCTTCATAATGCAACATGCAAGAGTTTAGGGCCTGAGAGCGTGAATCCTCCTTCTGTCATTTGCTAGTTGCGTGACTTTAGACAAATCACTTAATCTCATTATGACTCTTATTTCTAGCCCTGGCAGGTGTGATTCTGTTGGTTGGGCGTTGTCCTGTGCACTGAAAGGTTGCTGAGTCGATTCCTGGGTCAGGGCACATTGATGTTTCTCTCTCTCTAAAAAAATCAATTAATAAGTCTTAAAAAACTCCCAAAACATTGTGGCTTCTAATTTGTAAAATGACTTAATGACTTGACCTACACCACAAGGTTGCAGGAGGCTTAAACTGGACTCTGGATGGAAAGCTCAGCACGCAGCACAAAGTGAGCATCTGGGAACTGCTATTTCCACACCAGGATGAGCAGCCACCAATGTGTGGAGTGAAAATGATGTGCAGTAAAATAGTTTGTCATGCGGTGCATATTAAAGCACGTACTCACTGCAAATGCATGTCTATAAGGATCGTTACAATGGTCTGACTTCTGTTTTTTTTAATACCAGTTTACATGCCTTGTTGAAGGAAAGTCAAGCTTTTATTATTTTTTAAAGGGAAACAAAGTAAGTTTCAAATGTAGGGAAGACAACTGTACTTCCAAAACTCTAAACTGGGGGTTTTGCTCCTCCGCAGTACTGGCCTTCAGCCGGATCATTCTGAGAGTGGGGCTGTCTTGTGCACTTTAGGGTGAGGAGCAGCATCCCGCCACCCTCTGCCCAACAGATGCCAGTAGCACACTACTCTTCACACTGTGACAACCAAAACTGTCCCCAGAAACTACCATATGTCTCCTGGGTGTGTGTGTGCAAGTTTGCCCGTCAAAACGAAAACAACAACAAACCCACTCATCTGGAGATGAGACAGGAGGAGGAGCAGACTTGAAGTATGAAAGTGATTCCACCCAAGGTTTCTGGCTTTGAAGATGAGGGAAGCCTCAGTAATGGAATACAGCAGGGGCCTGTAGGTGCTGGGAATGACCCTCGGCTAACACAGCCAGCAAGAAGGCAAGAAACTTAGTCCCACCACTACAAGGAACTGAATTATGTCAACAACCTGAATGAACAGGGTAGTTTCTCCTCTACAGCCTGATTTTGGCCCACAGAGACCTACACAGGACTTCTGACCTCCAGAACTGAAAGCTAATATATCTGTGTTGTTTTAAACAAAAACAAACAAACAAACAAACACAAAAAAGCCACAACCCACCAATCTAAATAGATAAAAATGTAGTTTATTTGCATCTTTCTCTAAAACCCACTCTTTATATATATAAAAAAGTTGTCTTTCTGCTCAGTTGGTTGAGCATCTTCCCATGCACTGAAGGTAATGCTGGTTCACATCAATGTTTCCCTTTCACATTGATGTCTCTCTCTCCCCACCCTCTAAAACATCAATAAGGAATTTTAAAAAAAAGTCCTTCCTTCAGAAACATTTTCATCAGCTTAATTTTCTTCAATTAATATGCTTTTAATAGACAAGGATAAAATTAACTTAAAATTACTTACTATTAAAACAGAAAAGCTAGGGTTTCATCTTAAATAGCACCCCAGAACTACCTATTGTAGTGCATTAGCTTCACATTTCAATTCTGCCCTTTGTCCTGAATCCCAGATTGTCAGTCACAAGGGACAGATTGCAACCAACTGATGTTCCCTCTCACATCAATGCGTCCTCCCACCCCCACCCCCAATCAGTAAGCATATCCTCAAGTAAGAATATTTTTAAAAAAGTGAATGGTATTTCTAAGGAATGAGTTTTACTTCTTTTGTTTTTGCTAATCCTGTCATTAAATCCAGGAGGCAGCTGGTTGCAGTGATGTGTGGAGGTTCTGAAGCCCCAGAAATCAGCAGCTAGGGGTGCCGGTGTCTGTTACTCTTCCCAAATACCTTGTTGATAAAGCCCTATCTACAAGGAGCATTGTGAAGATGAAATGACACATGTAAAATGTATGCCTGGCCCTGGGAGGGTGGCTCGGTTGGTTGGAGTGTTACCTTCTATACCAAATGATTGTGGGTTTGTTTCCTAGTCATTTGTAAGTTGTGGATTCCATCCCCTGTAGAGACACATGCAGGAGGCAACCAACTGGTGTTTGTCTCCCTTTTCCTCTCTCTCTAAAAATCAAAAACATGCCCTGAGGTGAGGATTAAGGAAAAAATAGGATCTGATTTTTAAAAAGGTTTTGATGATGTCAAAATTTAGA